AGTTCCTTCAGGATTGCGTCAGGGCAGCTAGCAATGCACCCTGATCCGGCAAAGGTAAATCAGCTTCAACCTTTTCCCGATTGTCGGCGACTGTCACCGATAGGGCGAGCGATTCTATGGAAACCGAGCTTAAATGGTCGGTCGAATCGGAAGCCTCAATTCCCCGATTGTGTTGGGTGGACTGTATACGCAGTACAACATTTGCAGTGAAAACGCCGTAGTGACAGTGTAGCGATTTGGTTGAAATCAGGCTTCAGTAAGTTTACTCAGTTTTAAATAAAGCCCACTTTCCTTGAAATCGTTACACTGTCGGCTAGCGTACGGTTTTCATTGCAATCGTTGTACTGCGTAGGTGTCCGCGACGCAACGAAAAGGCTACCCGATTCAACCGATCAATCAACATCAACGAAAGGTATCGACGCGAGCGTGTAGCGATTGTATGGAAACTAAGATTTACGGCTGCAGTATCCTGTTGCAGTGCGTGATATCTCAGCAAACACAAAACGTTCTTACAACGTCCGCAAACGTTGTGGTTAGGTATATCACAAGATAACGTTCATACAACATTGCAGGAACGTTCAAACGAAGTAAGTATTTATGGTTCTACAACACCAAACTCTAACGTTATTATAATGTGTATATAACGTAATATTTTTAGCTGGGTAAACATTACATTGATTGAAACACGCAAGATCACAAAACCCCTAAAAGGAACAATGAGATACCAATAACATTCACAAACGTTATGAACGTTGTGGTTAGGTTTATGTCATAAAATAACGTTCATGCGTCGTGGAGTTGTAGCTTAAGTGGATTTGTTTTTTCCTTCTAATTTTATAGTCCAGGGTGCGTCGCGTCCGGGGTTCAATTAGGCCTAATGTGTAAGCATGACTTTTCCCCTCAACATCTCTAATCCCAAGTCCCATAAAGTAAAGCAATTTACATCTAATTAGAAAGTTTCTGCTAATAAAAAAAAAAGAACGTTGCAGCATGCGTTTAGCACGTGATTAAGTCAAAAAATCCCGTTATAAGTAAAGCACATATTATGGTTTTACAAAAAAAAAACAAAAAAAAAAAAAAACCAAAAAAACATTTTGTATGTAATCAATATTTATTATACCTTGTTTAGCGAACCCACAGCCCACCAATAGCGATGATTTCGAATAAAAAATAACATTGCATTTTTAGCAAATTAGGCGTACACGCCTCCACGAAAAAAATGGAAATTTCCGCCGGTGCTTCAAAATTAAGATATGTACATTTCTTCCTAAGTTATATAAATTTAAAGCATTTAACCATCCCATTCCTACACTTTTTACATTCAATAATACAATTTAATTTTTGGATTTTAAAAATTGGATGTTATGGCAAAACCATTTGCTAAAACAGAACCACCCCCAACCCCCTCCGACGATCATTAAAAAATAAGTTCGCGAGGTATAAGAAAAAGTATCGCCCAAGAGGTGTACTGTAAAAATAAGGTGACAATTTTAAGCATTCCTACACCAGATTAAATTACCTAAATTTATACTCTATTGTTGTTATATTGCAATTAGTCTTTTGTGGATCTCTGTCGTATTGATTGTCTCAGTATCAGTCCCTATCGATATGTGGCCAAATCGTGGGCGCTAGAGAATTTATGACATCCAGTAGGCCTTGCATTATATTACTTATGATTTACTACCCACGCATACGATAAATGAAGCATTAATTAATGCAATGAGTTCATAAGTCAAAACCATCTTCTTTCCAAATGAGATAAACCAAGACAAACTAGTATACTACTACTACTGCTGCTATGCTGCTGCCAGTGAAAACAGCACCGGGGTACTACCCATACATTCATAAATATGCCTAACAAATAATAATTAAAAATGTTTTCCAAGTTAATATTTTTGAAGAAAAAAGGGCCAATATTAAATATTTAGAGGAGTAATTTTCTTGATTAGCTAAGCTGCTGAGACCTCAAATTGCCTGGAACTGTGGCCCGTTCTCACCTAGCTACGCCGCTGGCATGCTGTTACTACTGCTGCAGCTGCTGCTGTGCCGTCATCGACGACGCGTCGTTACCGCTGCTGATTCTGCAGCTGCTACGTTTGTTCACGTGACTACAGTAATATTAAACTAAACAATCCGGAGTTTATAAAATAATAATGTATCGTCTTACAAAACTAGTAAATTATTTTAAAGTATATTTAAGAATAAATAATTAATAAATATATCCATAAGCAGGGGCGAAACCAGGATTTAAAAGAGTTGGGGGGGGGGGGTTTCAAAATAATTTACAAAAAACCCTTTAAAAAAAAGGGAGGGTCTGGAGGTCCTCCCCTGAGGAAATTTTGATTCTTAGATGGCCGGAGAAATGAGCTTTCCCGACTTCTGAGGAATCTTTTAATTACCTTTAATTAAGTTCTTCAAAATTCAAGGTTTCCCCCTCGTGAAAAAAGGTCAGGTAATTTTATCTCATTCTTTAGGCCTATCATAGAGAGATAAAAAAATCAAAGACAGGCAATATATTATTATACTCCAACAACATTGAGTAGTTAGATATGTAGTCTTTCTTCCGTGGATCGATGAACCGATAGGCCTGAAGAACGCACTTTCGTACATAAATTATTACGACGGCGAAACAAAAACAGTGTGTATAATTTATTTAATTGAAAACTAGTTGGGCTAAGCCTAGTTTTTCTGATCTTCCAACCTAGGTTTGCTTGCCTTTTGTAAACCAGGACCCAGTTGTATTTTGTTACGTTTCTCTTGAACCCCCTGGATCCCGTACTTATTAAGTACAGGTATTTTCTGATAACAAAATTCACAAATAATCCGTATCAATTGTAAATTGGTTTGGAAGGGTATCTGGTAAAACTAATCACACCAATAATTATACAGTAATCGCATGAGTTGCGGTGATCATTAAATATCGACCTAAGCCTACTTTGACAGAAATATATATATATATATAAAAACATAAAATTAATTTCTTGTAATGATACATACATATTGATACGACTGTATATGCGTACACTTTTTCAGTAGAGACGGAGATTCCATTTTTTGAAAGGGTGTGTGAGGGAAATAGCTAGAGTCAACCCACTAAGGCCGGGGGATGGAGGCCTCCTAGGACCTTAGGGCCAGGGAAAAGCCGGGGTGGGATCCGGTGCTCATAAATTTTAGTAGCAAAATTTCTGAGGAGGAAATTTGACAAAAATATTCCTTTTTAGGTTTTTAACCACAGTGTGGCCAATATAATGAGCTATTTTGACCGACTCAACTGACAATTATACTTAAAAAAAATCTGAAATGATAACTTCATATATTGGTAGGGAGGCATGTATCACCCTTAGAATCTGAAATCCACTAAAAACATCTAAATCGGGCACGCATTGCTCCGCCGACCGCATCATACGATCATCATTGGGGCAACGCGATTCCCCGAAGAACCAACGCGACGAGACGCGCGCCACTGGACCACCCCGACACGACAGTTATCAAACGACGTCGTGTCGTCATAAGGCTCAATTTGTCTTACACACGTTTGCACGGTGGCGTTGGCCTTCTAACAGAGTAAAATGATATGAACTAAAATACAAACTGAGGTTTTCAACTTCGGATAGATGACAAACTATCCTACCGAAAACAATTTCAACAGAGAAATACTGTATATTGTACAGCCTGTGTCGAGCCTTATAAATGTGTTCCGTTCAGATTCTCTTCTATAATGACAGGGAAATATTATAAACAACAACGTGCGTATTAATATATAAAATTGTATGTGGTCAGACCAGCAGTGGCTCAAGAAATTTGCCGACAAGTACGATAGGGGTATCCAAATCAAGGGCCCTACTAAGACTCTGTCAGGGAACCGGAAGAGAAATCCCTGGCGTTGAAGGGAAGAATTTTTATGACTCAGTAGGCCGGGCCAAAATTGTGTTCTTAGACCACAATATTAGGGGTCGGCAATCGAAATAGCGTTATTGGATAGGAAAATTATTATTTTTGATCCGACGACTTCGGCTTGGCGTTGGACGATTGGCGTTCTAAGCCTGTCCGATATGGGGGGAAAAATTCCCCTTCCCCACGCCCCGATAGCACCACTACTGGGTCAGACATTGCCATTTGCATTTTTACCATTTAAATTGAGAACCATATTAAGAGACATGTGGAAGTAAAACTATAAAATTTCCTATTCATGGAATGTCTTGAAAATATATTGAAAGCGAAGTATCTTTATTGTTTTATCTTGATTGAAATTATCGGTACTACCAGTAGCGAATTCAAGGGGGCCCCAGTCAGCCCCCTTGAAAATGGAGATAAAGAGAAAAGTAATTCTAAGTCTGAGAGTACGGCCATCAGAGAACGGAGCCATCATAACTTTCAGACCACGATGGGTCTGAAGTGGTATAGACCTCCCTCTGAGAAAGTCTCTCCCTTGGCCACCTCTGTTTATAATTCCTGGATCCGCCACTGCACTTAAATGTATTTATCAGAAGTAGTTTTATTCATAATTACAGATACTATAGTATTCTGTGATATAATGTAGAATAATATACACATATAACAAACGATTAAAGATGTAACAGTGCAAAAAAACAAGAAAAGAAATTAAACAATTCTTCTGAATTTTTTGAACTTTTGGGTAGGTCGGTCTTGAGCATCAAAACATTATAAAAACATTCGCAATGCCATCTATTTCCTTAGCTACGGTATTATGCATCATCCGTGTTTACCCGTGGTAATTTTAAATAATAATAATAATAATAGTTTACTTTATTTTAGATTGTATTATAGTATTATCTACAATGTGGATATGATAAACTGTGTT